ATCTTCTTAATGTGTGTTGAGCACTTTTCAACCACCAGTGGAGCTTATTTCCTTCCGTTTTTAGGATAGCTCATGGTTTCCCCTTCTATTAGTCTATCTCATTAATTTGTCTACTTAGAGGATAGGGATTAATCCTTATTAATTTCTGTAACTTCCAAAAAAACTTTGCATATATTAGGTGTTTAGTAAATATTTGATTTTACTTGAATTGTCATACCTCCATAAAAACCCAGAAAACACACCCTTATTGTAGGAGCAGCAAAAATCTTTTCCTAATGTGGGTAACACAGGGAGACAGGTGCTCTGGCCATTGCTTATCAGATCAATGAAGAGACCATCTAAGGGAGGAATCCCACCTTCACTCTTATGTTTGCTGTTCTCTGTGTAGGAACAATAATTTTTAGAAAGATATTTCTTATAGAGCATCCTCTCCCCCATCTATACTCATGCATCAAATTCTTGAATTCTTGCTAACAAAACATTTTATGTTAGGGTCCCTGTTTGATTGATGGTATTTGCAATCAGTATATTGATCTCCAAAGAAGGCTTGTCTGGTATTGTACCTCAATAATATTGGCTGCAGAATAATATCTGAATAAATATGCTAGAGCTATTTTATCCTCATTATCTTTTTTAACTTTTATTTTAAAATAGTTTTTAACCCAGAAAAGTCGCAAAAATAGTACAAAGAATTCCCATATTTTATTCCCATGAATTTATACTACAGTCTTTTGGGAGAGCATTTTGTAACTAAATAATAATTTATCAACATAAAAGGATATTAGAAGCTTATTTATTACTAGAGGCCCGGTGCATGAAATTTATGCACTGGGTGGGGGTCGGGGGAGTTCCTCAGCCTGGTCCTCTCACAGTCCAGGAGCCCTGTGATCAATTGCCCCAAAGAGGTAGGCCCTGCCCACCCACCGCAGCCAGCTGGTTGGTGGTCTGGGCCTCCCTTTGCGGGGTGATCATGGTGTGATGGCCAGGCCCCCGAACAATCACATTTCACTTGCCTTGGCTGGCCTGGCGCCAGTGGGTGTCATAGCGTGGTCATCAGGATGGTTGTTGGCTGGCCTGGCTCCAGTGGGTGTCATAGTGTGGTCATCAGGATGGTCATTCCATTCGGCCATTTGGTCATTCGGTCAATTTGCATATTACGCTTTTATTATTATAGATACCAAAAGTTGAGAATGACCTAAATATTCCAAAATAGAGGATACATTACATCAGTATCTAAAAATGATAAATCTGTAGCCATTAAAAGCCAAATTCCTTAAAAATATTTAAAGGGACATGCTCAATATTTTAGTTTGTAAGAGCTGCCATAACCGAATACCACAGACTGGATGGCTTAAACAACAGACATCTATTACTTATGGTTCTGGTGGCTTGCAGATGGCTGCCTTCTCCCTGTGTCCTCACATGGCCTTTCCTCTGTGTGTGCACATCCCTGGTGTCTCTTCTTCTTTTAATAAAAGAAACCAGTCATACTGGGTTAGGTTCCTACCCTTATGACCTAATTTAACCTTAATTATTTTCTAAAGGGCCATTCTCACATTGTAGGTTAGAGCTTCAATATATGAATTTTGGGGAAACATGATTCCATCCATAATACTCAAGATATCTTAACTGAAAAATACATCATAAAACCATGCTTACAGTATGATTTTCATTTTTAAAACACACCCACATATGCAGAGAAAAAAATAGTTTGGAAGATTACATGTCAAAATATTAATAGGTGATATTTCTGAATTATGAAATTATGAGTTATATTCACTTACTACATACTTTATAACATTTTGAACTTTTCTGTAATAAACAACCACTACTTTTCTAATTAGAAAAAATGCATTATAAGTAACACAAAACTGTAATAGCTTGTATGTTCTTTCATGTACATTAATGTATTTGATCTCTACAACTATGCTGTAAGGCAAAACCAGAAATTATGTTTTTCAATTTCTAGATGACAAAATTGAGGCTCAGAGAGGTTAAGTTGCATGGCCAAATATTCAGCCTCATAATCAGAATGGGTCTTCTGACTATTAACCCAGTCAGTGATCTTTCCATTATGCCACAGTTCTCCAAAATACAAATCTAGCAATACTCTATGATTATCCCCATCAACTTATTAATGATACTCAAGAAAGTAGAAAAATAATAACAATAGCAACATCAATATCAAAACAAGTGTTTCACGGGGAATCAATTGAGCTGTTGTAGTCTTCTACGGAAAAATTTGGGATACAAATAAACATAAATAAATAGTAACTTGGATTAAAAATTGTCACTGACTTGTTTTTTTTCTGCATCCTAATCTTACAATTGTTGTACATGTATAGAAATAAAGCATAATTGTAGGAACAGAGATTCCTCTAGGTCAACAATATTAATAATATCCCATTTGTAATATAGTCTTTCCCATTAAATCTCCATTCATATGATACAATCAACAGTCACAATAATTACCATGCAAATTGATGTTTTTCTGAGGTGAGGTCTATGTTCTATTTCTGACTGAGTAGAAGTCAATCATAACATTGAACAACTTCAACCTGTAAGCTGTACTGACTGTAGCAGTAGTGGGCATCATTCTGGGAAGTGGGCATGGTAGAGAACAAAGACCTCTATTGAAATGTGGCAGACAACCTCTTCTTCAATTCAAAAGTGGTGCTTTTCTAGCACCATGGAACTGGGATTATAGTATGTGGTAAAACCCTTTTATTATATGTGGCCCATGGACAGAGCTTTGGGACCAGACATCAGTACCTGTTTTAGTGGTTGGTGCCTCCTTGCTCTGTGCCAGTAAACTTCATCCAGACATTGTGGATCTCTGTCAATTTGTGGAATAAAGACAACTGACGGAAAAGGAATGACAAGACTTTCAAGACTTTCAAAAAGTCCCATCACTTGGTACCGGTTGTCTTGAGACAAATGGCTGGGCATTCCCTTCCAAGGAGGCTCCTGAACAGCTGTCAGAACTCATCTGGGTGAGAGATGAAACAGTGACCCAGGGTTAAAGGCTCCACCGTCTGCTGCAAATCCCCTGAGTTATCTAATCTGTCCAGCAGCACAGGCTTTCTGCAAAGGAAGCGTTATTTTATAGCTGACCTTTTAACAGAGGGGGAATAGCAACTGTTAGCAAATGCAGTGAGTAGTTGTCCTGAGATCATGCTGCCTGGATAAATCTTATAGAGCTTTAAAAAACTTCTGAAGGACAGATTAACATCTGGAAAGCCCACACAGACTGTGCACAAAAGACATTATATTGCAATGTGGAGTATTGCCTGGTTCTTAAAGGAACACACATACATACAGAGAGAGAGAGAGAGAGATACACACAGAAGGATATCATGAGCCTCAAGTCCCGCACATTGGTCAGGCTCCTCCAACCAAAAAATTCTAATCGGTGACTCTGAAGTACTTGTGGAAATGTAAGTCTTTCTCTGGCCTTCAGTATTCCTGTCTGTAGAACAAAACAAACAGCTAAAAAGAAAAGAGGGGATTAGAACTAGATGATCAATCCTTGGCATATCACTGTTTTTCATCCTTGTACTCATAGTAGACATGATTAGTTGGTCTTGGCATTGCCTCCAACCTGACGCAGCCCCAGATTTCTCACCAGCAATTGGTCTTAATTAATATATGAGATGTAACCCATTCTATCTACTTGAAATGTAGTGATGCCTATTGTGCTTTTCCTCAGCTGTATGACCAGGCGTAGTGACTCTGACTCCTGGTGGCACCTCTGGCACAGCACAGCATAATGGCCATCAGCAGGACATAGTGAGAATACTAGCACAGAGATAGTTTTTGGAGGAATTCTTGGGTTTTAGAGATGGCACATATGTCACTCCAGGGAAAAGGCATGTGTATCAGAATTAGAACCTAAGAGCAGTGGAAAACCATTGCAACTGCAATGGGGTGTTCATGAGCATTCTTCCCAGTGAACTCCAAAATACTGAAAAGAGGGGAATTAGTGTCTACAATAGCAGGAAGGGGTAGAGTTAGAAAAAATTCTTTATATTGTTAGTAATAGCCTCCTCCACCCCCCTTTTAAAACCTAGGCTGGTGTATTCTGACAAAAAGATTACATCTATATCATTATTTGTATTATTACTAATATAGGATTCATAGAATAAACTCTCAAATTAAAATTTGAGAGCTGGAGAAGACCACAGAGATGATCTAGCACATTGGTTCCCACATGGAAAACCATTGCAACTGCAATGGGGTGTTCATGAGCATTCTTCCCAGTGAACTCCAAAATACTGAAAAGAGGGGAATTAGTGTCTACAATAGCAGGAAGGGGTAGAGTTAGAAAAAATTCTTTATATTGTTAGTAATAGCCTCCTCCACCCCCCTTTTAAAACCTAGGCTGGTGTATTCTGACAAAAAGATTACATCTATATCATTATTTGTATTATTACTAACATAGGATTCATAGAATAAACTCTCAAATTAAATTTTGAGAGCTGGAGAAGACCACAGAGATGATCTAGCCAGGGGTGGGCAAACTTTTTGACTCGAGGGCCACAATGGGTTCTTAAACTGGACCGGAGGGCCAGAACAAAAGCATGGATGGAGTGTTTGTGTGAACTAATATAAATTCAAAGTAAACATCATTACATAAAAGGGTACGGTCTTTTTTTTTTTAGTTTTATTCATTTCAAACAGGACGGATCCGGCCCGCGGGCCGTAGTTTGCCCACGGCTGGACTAGACCATTTATGGGATCTCTTTGAGATTTTACCCAAAGGTAGGGAAAGAACACCATTGCAGCTTTTATTATTCTTTTCATTATTATAAGTTGAAAAAGAAAACCCAAGAGAATGTACAAACAAATTATTGGAATTAATAACAGAATGAAACAAGGTGGTTGGCTATAAGATCAATATACAAAACCAACTGTATTATTATACCAGGAACAAACAGAAAACATAATTTTTTAAAATATACTATTTACATGTGAAAAGGTTGCCACCTGCCTTGGCTCACCTGCACTGGGATGTCCTGGGCCTTCTTTCTCTGTTATCCATGGCTCCTCTCCTTTCTCCAACTGGGAAATCACCCTAGGTTTGGAAAATTCATATCCTGCTTATGCAGTAAAAAAAAAAAAAAAAAAAAA